ATGTCCTTTTCAAATCAGAAAAATATTCAAAACAAGTTGATATTGATTATGATTTGATTTATTCTGGAATTTTCGAAAGTGTTTATTAAGTTATCCAATATTTAATAATTTTTTTTTTTATAAATTTTTCACTTGAACAACGAAAAATTTTTAATGCAGATTTTGAATTTCTCGCATATAAGAAAAACTTAAAGAAATATTTTTAATGATAATGAAAATTTAATGTAAATTGTGTAATTTGCCACAACAATTAAAATATTGAATCAAGATAAGGAACAAAAAAATGCTGTGCTTGCAAACCAAAGCAGCTGAAATACTATAATTTAAATTAGTGTTTCTCAAAATTTACCGCTAAAAATTTTATATATGCACATTTTCTTAAAAGGTCCAGCCGAAAAAATTGTTCCATTTAAAAAAAAGTCCTTAAATTTTTGATAAAAATTTTTTGCAATATCAACAGTTTTTTAGTATTACGAAAATTATCCTGATGCAAAACAAATTTACTTTACACTCATATTAACCAAGTTCTGCTTAATTTGAAAATTATTAGCCCAACAAAAAAAAAAAACACAGGAAAGTCACGAGTAAAAATTGAGGGAAAAGTGAAAGATCGAAATAAAACACAAATTTTCTCTTTGGCAAACTTACAAATAACATTTTTTTTTTCTGTTAGTTTTGTTGTATTTAATTAAGTTTATATTTTGGATATTACAGCCCATATTAAATAAAATTGAAGAATAAAAGATGTAAGGGAATTTCTCCTTATTCAGTTTTTTTCTTCCTTATGTAGCGTTGAGTTGAAATTTTGACTTTCTATAAAGTGGAATTTATTTATTTGGTTACTTAATACTAAAGTCGAATTTTTGATTTATGCTTACAAACGGAATGTTTCAATATTTTTATTTACAATAATATCAATTTGACAAAATTAGAAGCTTATGTTGCGAATTAAACAAAATTCATGGCGACCATATATTAAAGAAGTTTCTTACTCTCATTCTATTTTATGCTAACGCTTAAAAATGAAATCGGCTTTCGTCATTAATTAGTCGTGAATTTTTAAAAATTATAACGGTAAAAATTTAATATTTTGCAATAAATTATGAAAAACTAAAACGATAATTAAAATACCTTTAGCCCGTTCGAAATTTCTCTTTATTCCTGCAGCTAAAATATAAATCGAAATTTCCTCCTTCTCCAATTCGACTGCTCACAATTTCATTAAATTAATTTTACCGTCCATTGTTGTAGAAACACGATATTTTAGAAGCGGTCGATAAAAATTATTTTTAATTCTTATTTTGCCAAAAAAAATTTACATTTTACACTACAGAACCTAATTTTTAATTTTTACTATTAAAAGTTTTTAATATATCTAGATTAGCTTTATTAAACCACATGACATTTTGCTAAAAAAAACATACAGGACTACTCTTTTATTTAAACGAAAAATTTATTTGTTTACTTGGAAATTTCATCAAAAAAAAAAAAAAAGGAACACATTAAAAACTAAATAATCCTACTAGCTATGTTACCTATATAAAATTCGTAAACAACATGAATATGTTCTTTGTTGATCCCTAAAAAGAAAAACATAAAGAATTTAGAAAAAAAAAATCTTCTCAATTTAAAAAAAAATTATAAAAAACTCAAAGTTAAAAAAAAAAATAATTTCATTTTTATTATATTTGAGGTTGTATTTTTAATAGCGATGGTCAAAGAATCCTTTTATAATATTACACTGAAATAATGATAACAACATACATACATAAATATGGTCGACTATGTGCTTATTTCGGTCAAGCGACAAATAACAAAATTTTCAGGAAAATGTATTTAAAATTTTATTATGCGAAATTCGCTCTGAAAATCATAGTGAAATTTTCCGTACTTAATGGAGGCATTGGTTTTTTTATTATTTCTCGTTGAAGAGCTCAATGTAAGTTTTATAAAGTTATAGACGATTTTCAGAGCAATTTCTGGACATTTTCTGTTAATATCCAAATCTCATTAAAAATATTAAGTTTCACAGTCTACAGAACAGTCTAAATCCATTTGAGATTGAAACTCGAAATATCAAATTAAAAACTATATTAAAACATATTGAAGATATGACGATCCTGTAAAGAATTTTTGGAAAATTACCTCCAGAAATATAAAAAATAAATACGTCCAATTCAAAAATTTAAAAACAGGCATTTGTCTGAAACAAGGACTAAAGTGGTGATGATTTTTACAAAATTATTTATACAAAGAAGGACAAAATCCTTTAATTTTATTGTGTTCCCTTTTATTTTATTTTTTTCTTGTGTGTCTTTGAAATCAAAGTGAAAAATAAAAATATGTAAGGCTATTATATTAACCGATACGTCAAGTTTATATATTTGAAACAGCAGACCTCATAATGGAGGGGCTTTAATTTAATGAGAAATAATTTTAATAGGGTCTATTTATTTTTTTTTTATGATCGTATTACGATGGGGTTTTTTTGTTTTTTTTTTTTTTTTTTTATGGAAATGCAAACATAACGATCTCGTAAAAGAAGTCGGCATTTATAATGATAAGAAAATAATCGTCAAAGATTTGCATAATAATTTTATTATACGAGTATTATTATTTTCTTTATTGAGTTTGGTTTTTTTATTTTTCTGTATTTTGAAACATTTTTTATTGTGATATAAAGTTTTCTTTAATAGTTGAATATTGCAATCATTTTCTGTCCATCTTAATCAAAAATTCTCTTAAATAAAGTGAGAAATGAAGAGAAATCTCCAATTGTGATTTATACACAGATTAACTTACAAAATTTCTATTCTGAATAATGTTTATGACAACTGAAACAATTCAGTGTATATTCAACTTTCCGTTCCCTCAATGGATTCAATTTCAATGGATGACAAATACGAGTCATAAATGAGGAAAATTTATTCTAATTTAAAACTTTTGTTTCAGAGAAATAATTTTATTCAAGCATTAAATCCCAAACATTCTGAACAAAGTAATGAAAACACAAAGAACCCAAAACGTTTAAAATAAGATTTAAACACCTATTAAAAAAATCTAATATTAAATTTAATATTATAGCGTTAATAATTAGTTAAATAAATTTTCTACGTCCCATAAATAAAACTTTAATCTACAAAATTTTCTTTTAAAAAATTAAAAGAAATTACCGGGCTAAACTAAAATTAATGCCTAAATAAAAAGTCCAACTATACAACAATTTTCCTTTTTATTAATTCAGAAAAAAAAAACAAATATAATAGCCTTTTTATGTTTCATTTTATTAAAATATTTTTTTAAGGTTTGCTCATTTAAAAAATTGACGACGCTTTAAAAAAAAAACAAAATACCTTTCTGCAATAATTTTGATAAAAAGGATAACATTTCCGCAGCCATCGTTTATTTAAATGAAAATGTTTAAAAAAAATAAATAAATATTTTATTAAAAAAAAAAATTTTTTTTTTGTTTTTCTCCTCTTTTTTTATGATTTAGAGGTTTAAATAAACACAAAACACAAAATACAAAATGTAAAATGGCATAATGGCATTAAGGATTTACTTTGATTTCATTTTTTCTTTGACTTTATAAGAATAACCTTTTGAGCCATCGAATTGAAATTATTATTAGAGAGAGAATGTGCCGCTTTAAAAGAACGATTCATATTTTCTTTTGAGATTTAAGAGATTTTGTTTTTTAGATGCAAAATAATTCAATCAAACATTTGAATAGTAATTTCCTTAACAGTTACCGGACATAAGAGTATTTAATTTTACTTTTATATTTTACCACTTTAAATCCAAGAAATAATGTTAAAAATATCAACACAGGAAATTTTCGAGAGAATGAGTTACAAATTTCACCGAGTTCCTTGAAATTTAAACTTTAATTTTTTGTCAAATTTCATAAAATCTACAAATTTAGATTTAAAATTCAATTGCTCCGAATTTAATTGTTACGAAAATGTTACCTACATATGTAAAATTATAAGGCTAGCAAGGCAATGGCGATGTCTTTGGCTTGTTCAATAACGAGCTACCTAGGTAGTTAGTCAGAGATATACATATTGCATTTTTTAAAAGTTAAGTGGATTACTTAGACGTCTTAAAGAATTATCAGTCTCTTAACGACTTTATCCTTTACTTTTGCTCTTACTTTAAAAATTACTCTTATCACTTCTCCAAAAAAAAATTTTTTTAACTTCCGACTTAAATTTTCTTAACTTCCGACTTAAATTTTCTTAACTTAACTTAACTTAAATAACCCTTAAATTCGAGCATTATATTGAAGCCTCTTTAAATTTGTTTTGTTTTATTTCAAAGATTGCATACAACGATGATCCTAAATGTATGCAATATTTGCAATATAATGTTCAGCCTAAATGTATGCAATTTTTAAAATATATTCATGTATGAATGAAAGTAATTTTAAAAGCAGTATTTTCAATTGTTTAGTGTTCTTTGCAAAATTTTTTAATTAATTCAATAAAAAAGATAAAAAATTATTGACGGAATAGAGCGCTGCTTTTCACTAAATTTGAAAACGTAATTTAGTGAGTCTAATATAAGGATAGTGGGTCTGATATTCAACCATAACTTCAACAAGTCATTTTAATTGATATTGCAGCACAATTGTTCTTGATAAAAATTTTTCTTACTCTAATAAATTTTTAAATATTTCACAAATTTTCATTAAATTTCTACAATGTTAAATGAATAAATTTAAAAAAATTTAAAGACTTACCCCTAAAATAGTATCTAAAAAATTCTATGTTTGTTTCCGCCACAGATAGAAAAAATAGGAACTACGAAATTAGAAGAAAATTTTTTCAATACCAAAATTTTTTCTATTATGTTGATATTTATAAATTTAATTTTTTTTTATCTAATTAAAAGCTAAAACTAAAATTTTTAAATAATCATAAGTGAAATGAAAGTGTTATTTTAAATTTTTCTTACATAATATACAAACTAACATATATATAATTTTTTTCTTCTAGCTGAATATTATGCCAATGGTATATGTCATCCTTGTCATTCAACATGTGAAACATGCGATGCTCCAACAGAACGTAATTGTTTAACGTGTCAACCAAGTTTATTATTGCAATCTAATCGATGTGTCAGCACCTGTGATGATGGTTATTACATGGAATCTGGTGTTTGTACCAAATGTTTACATACATGTACACAATGCGTATCACGTATGAATTGTACTGCATGTGCTAAAGGGCTACAATTACAAAGTGGCGAATGTCGTACAACTTGTGCAGAAGGGTAATTAATTATTATTATTTTTTATTTTTTTTTGTTATCTTGCTTTTATGTACCCTGGCCTTTTTTTCTCTTTATAGTAACAAAAGATTTTTGTTGATTTTTCCCTATACAATTTCTACATTTCTTTTACATTTTATAGATATTATAACACATTTACTGTATACATAACACATATTTTAGAGGTTGCATAAACATACTTACATACATAGTATTTTTAAATTTATTTACTCTTTCTTTTTATATAAAAAAAAGGGCTAAAAGTGTATTCTTAGTCTGGACTGAGAATATGTGAATACTTACATTTGAATTCAGTTGAATGACACAAAAAAAAAAATATATGACATTAGGTCACTCCTTTTTCTTGTATGGCTTTTACTCAATCTCAATAATATGCTCTCTCTATTTAGGAAAAATTGCTTGAACATAGCATAAGGACCATAAACAAATGTATGGTCATATTATATTGATAGTCCTCTATAGACTATGCTACAAGAGTATAAAATAATGGAAAAAAACTTAACCAAACCAAAGTATTAAATGTTTACAATGAAATGCCTGACTTGTTATTTTGACAAAAATTGTTTGTCATTCTGAAATGTTTAATACAAGAAAACAATCAAACAAATTTTCAAATGCCCTTACAGAAACATGTTCTTATATTACATTAAATTTTCGTATCCTATTTATATATACTTACGTACATATATATATATATGTATTTATTTATATTTGAAAGACATGTATCATGATTTAAGATTTCTTTTCATTATTAAAAAAAATATATATATAGAAAATGAGAGCAAATTGAATGAGTTAAGTAATTTTATACTGTTATACGTGCAAAATGAACTTAAATGATAGATAAAATAGGAAAATAAATAAAATAATGTTTAACTCCACTCGACTGTTCTATATAATATTTTGTCCTATGTATTTATATGTCCGTTTACAAATTTAGAAATTAGAATTGCCGTTAGTACTTGAATTGTTATACGAATGACCACATTTCTTAAAACTTTTTTAATAATGACGTCTTTTTTATTTAATACTTTAATTCAGTTAGTACGCCCTTTTTTACTGGAATTTAACATTCAATCTTAGAGCAGTTGAGAGTAGTAGAGTGTATGATAGATTGTATTGAAGTCTGTTATACAGAAGAAAAAGTTAACTTATATTAAGAATTTAACATTTTTTATTCTTTTTTTGTAACGCCCTTCACTAGAATAGTTACCAGAGTAACAATATTTTTTTTCAACTACTCCTTTCTGTATGCTAATGTAATTGGGTGTGATATACTATAAAGTGTTATATGAATTAAGGTTCATATTCCTGTAAAAGGGTCGCAGCAGGTATAACTTTATTAAAAACAATCTAGACATTTAACCGTTGTAGCAATAAATTTTTTTGTTGTGTAGCTAACTGAAATATAATAGTTTAATGTGCTTAAAACTGCAAGAATATTGTGTTTTTAACTAAACCAACAAATGAAATATAGTTACACACATTTATTCCGATAGGTAGCTGTACATTTTGAGAAAATCTAACACGAATGCCATAAACTTGATATTTAAATTTATATGACAGTTTTAATTTCCGTATATAATAGAATTATTTCAGAACAACGTTTCATTTATAAATTATACTTTTAATTATCCATTACCAGTTTGAAACAGTGTTCCATACACTCAAAAAGTAATGCAACCGCTATGATATAATTTCTATTATATCCCACCTCTGGTGCAATATCTCGTTGGCTACTATTAAATGCATTATGCATCACTCAATTATAATGAAATCAAAATCAAAGAATTTCAATAAAATCTCAGAAATTAATATATTAATATAATATTACACTATAATAATTATAATGAATCTGGCAACCTAAGCTTTTAATGTAAACGTGTACAGTCATAAGTAAAATAGTTTTACAGTTTATACTTGAAATACAACGTTATAGCGTATAATGTTAGAAAGTAACGTGCTTCAATAATGATTCTATACAAATACAATGATTCTATTCGAATAAACTTTAAAGAGAGGATATAACAGTTTTATTAAAGAAATTTCACATTCTTATTAAATTAATATTTATTTATTTTTCTAAAAATTTGTTGCAATTTTTATTCGATTTCTGTGCTTACTTCAGATAAAATGATTTTTAAGCTCTATGGTGCCAAATTTTTAAATGTTTGGTATGTATTACAAATTTATAAATTTTAAATATAACTAATATTAAAATTAAATTCTTATACCATCAAAGATATCCCTATCACTTCATATATATAAAGACTCCTATTAAATTAAAATATAGCATTTAAATTCATATTAATTTTATTTACCTTTAGATTCCTATACAAGAGAATTTCCTATTTCATTTTAAAAACAAAACATTCATACACACATAAAGAAAAAGGACTAAAAACTCTTTTCAAGTAGACACTTTTAATGTACTATATTATAGGAGAGTTAAGGTGTCACATGTGTAAATAGTAAATAAAATTATAAAAGGAAAAAGAAATTCTAAAGAAATGAAATTCTATCTTTAACATACAAAAAAAAGAAAACAAAATAGTTGTAAAAAGAAAATTACATTGACCCTTACTTACTCTATGCTACAGTTAATTTTTCTATTTGAAAATAATAAAAAAAATGAGGAAAATGAAAATAGTAAACTCCTCCAGGATATTTCATTTCAATTTCAGTTTCAATTCAAATAAAATAATTAGAATGATATGAAATTTGAGTCACTTTTTGATTCTCTGATTTCATTTATCTATACAAAAAATAAAATTGAATTCTTATTCACATATTATCCTTTGATTGGATTTAAAATATTATACACATCGTATACAATAGAGGGTATTTAAATATTAAATGATGTTTGCGGAAGAGTTTTATGTACTTTGGGTCTATGATATTTTTTATTATTACACCTTTATTATAATTTAAATAGAAATTAATTCACTTTTATTACAAAAGATAAAAATTATGAAAATATAAGGTGATTTTGAAGAGTATACGAGTTAAGAAAGTGAAAATGCTTTTAGTTCATTTCATTTTAGGTTCAGATTTTTTTTCGATGCGCTACGATAAAAGCTAAAAGTTAACACATAGTATAACATTTTTCCTCTATCTCTCATAGTTTTTCCAGTAAAAAGTGTTCAATGTATTTAAAAGCATACAAAAAATCCCTAAAATTATTTGCCAACTTATGCGAAAATACCTGTATATTGTATGCCAACTTATGCGAAAATACCTGTATACTATTTTATACATAATCTAAATGGCAGTTTTTAGCACTTTTCCAAAATTTTTTTGAAAAAAAGTGCTTATTAGTTTCACTCTGTCCGTCCGTCCGTGGACACTTTTTTTGTTTACAAAACTTCTACACCCTTGAAAATAGAAAGCTGAAATTGAATACGTACATAGATCTTTACTAGAAACTTACTTCCGTAGAACAAAATTTTTACCTATCTCCGCCCCTCTAGAAGTTATACTCCCCCAAAACCATAAAAATGGGCTTTTTTAACTATTTGCTGCAATCAAACCATAAGCATTTTTGAAATTTTGCAAACGCAGAAAGGCAGAGGCTTGCTTCCCCTAGCGCAGTGTACTATAGTTAAACTTTAGAAAAACAAAATGGTCGTTATTTACCGTTACCTAAAGTCCTTTTTTCCCAAATTTTTGATGTCGTTTTTCTTCTAGACCCCAACCTGCAGAAGCTAGAAAATTTGGGAGCTTTTAGACATTAACAAATAGGTCATTTCGTTAGAAGAAAATTTTTTTCCATCTCCTCCCCCTCTCAAGTTATGGCCCTTGAAATTTGAAAAATTTGAATTTTTGACACCCTATATTTCCGAAACCGCAAGCTTTTTCAAATTTCTATAAACGCAAAAAGTTAACGGTGAATTCCATGACAATAAAAAATATAATTATTTTTCTTAACTCACACAATTAAACCTTAAAATCGAGCATTATGTTAACCCCACTTTATATTAATTTTTGCTTTATTTCAAAGACTGCATAAATCGTTCATCCTAAATATATGCAATCTTAGAAATAGTTTTGTATATGAATTAAAATAATTTTAATAGTGTGATAGGAATACATAGACTGTATTTAAAAGCAAAATTTTCACTTGTTGAAGGGAAAACTGCTACAATACAAACCATTGGTCTGACCCAACTTTATTTATTATATAAACCCATACCATCACAAAAGATTTTATCGAAAATAATGGCGTTGGTACAATATTCATTTATACAAAATATCAGTATTGTAGCTTCAGCAATCTCTTAATTATAACCAAGTAACTACTGAAATTTTTATGATAGAGCTACTGCAAACAGCTGTACATGTTACTGCATGTAATTTGAACTCGAATTTTGTCAACCCTAAGGGGATAAGAACATGTTTGCTTATACAACATTTCATTATTATTACTTTAATGATTTCTGTGATAATAGTATTATAATTTTTTAAGTGGTATGATAGTTACCCGGACTATTGCCGCGATTACATCACATTAAATTTAAGTATATGTTTTCGAAAATACGTTCGTATGCGGGTATAAAAATTTGATGTCCCTAGCATCGATTGCAATAAGTAATTTCTGGTTAACATTAAGAAATTCCGAGTGATTTTTTAGTTTGACAAAATAGTTGCACAAAATCATGGAAACGCTCTTAAAACACTTATTTTAAATTTTAAGTAAACTATGGTAACCTTCTAGTTAATATGAACCTTCTAGTTCTTGTCTCTAAATTTTAATGAGAAGTTTGTAAGTTTTATAAAAATTTGGTCCCATCACAATTCTGCCCGTATTGTTACAATGCGATCTGTAAAAAATACTCAAAATAATTATTTAAAATATTATTTGAAAAAAAAAAAATAAAATTTTTTACAAAAGGTAATTTTTGACGCTATTCTAAAGAATTTCCACCCAAAAATCCTTTTGCTTCACTTTTCTCTATATAAATTAACGGTTAATTTTTTTTAATTCAAAATGAACAAAAAAATATTAATAAAAATTTTTAGTTTTAATTTAATGAAAAAAATATTTTTAATAATATTTTTTATGCATAAAAAATAATGAGGAAATTTTTTACGTTTAGAAGTAATAATTTGCGTCCCAGAAGAACTTGTCAAATAAGCTAAAACTGGCAAATAGTCAGTATTTACTTTTGTAATTTTTATTTAAGAGCTTATTTTGAGTATAATTTTGAGTATTGTTGGATAGAGTAAGAGTTTCAGACATATTCCATAGATTTGAATTTCCGAAATATTTAGAAGCTACGCTTCGAAGTTAAATTGAAAAAATTACGTTAAGACCGACGGTTTTTATCCAACCCACATTTTAATTTATAAAATAATTGAGACGCTCTTATAGTTATAAAGAGAGCATCTAATAATTGGCCAAATTCTTTATTTAATATTATTCCCGTTAGATTGTGTTTAATGGGACTTAATTATAGCAAATTTGGTAGACAGCGGAACGAACAAATTTTCTTTTGTTTTTCTGTTTACCTTTAATTAAATTTTTTCTCTATTTTTCGAAAATATTCTGGTGAAAAGCTAAAAATTTTATTCACGTTAAATAAATTTGTTAAGGTAAAAGTTTTTTTTTATTTTTTTTTTTCTTTTAGGAATAAGAACAAACAAAATCTGCATTTTAATTACACTTTGCAATAAGCTCAGAAAAGAGATTTTCATCCAAGTTTTGCAGATCTTTTTTTTTTTTTGTATGTTTTTGTCTACATTTTCAATTTAATTTTAAAAGAAAACCTGTTTGTAGTATAATGAATTTTTATTATTCAAAGTAAAGAATGGGTTTTAGCTGTAATAAAGATGAAATATTTTGTTGCATAAAAGCCTTTATGATTTTTCTAAATACAATCAGTTCTAAAAATGAGATAACATTTCTTGTACCTTCATGTAAGAATTTTGTAATCTAAAAATTGTTACAAAAATCCTTTAAAATTCACTCGTTCTAGCTATATCCGACCGTAAATTCGAACCAATATTTGATCGCAATAATATATTCAATTGCACGCATTGTTCTAACATTCTGCATTCATAGGAAACCATTTTGCTTCCCCAACACGTTTTTGTAATCGGTTAGCATAGAAATTCTCCGTCTGCCTTTAATAATTGTGCCCACTAGAAAATTGATTATTTAGATTAAGGATAAAACAAAAATTTTTACTAAAACTACTAAAATTTCATTCTTGCTGAAAAAGGGATCATGTTGGCTCATGAAATTAAAATAATTTTTTTCATAATGTTCGACCGTATTTTTAGGATCCACGAAAATATTCTTGGTTGAAGTAAAAAGACCGACCTTATTTTACTCTTGTTTTTATGAAATTTCCAAATGTCTGTCTAATAAGTGAGATATTCAACAGTATGAGGCAAAACTCATGAGCAACTTAAAACGTTTATTTTTTTGCTCGGCTACAATTAACACAATTTAGTTCCGTTCAAGAATATAAGTTGAAGTGGATCTAATCCAACAAGCCTATCGATTTCTTTGTGAAAAGCTTCGATATGTTTTCGCAATTATCAAATCATTTTCAGTTTCAATTATTATCAAATCATTTTCAGTTCTCCCCCCAAAATAGAAATTGTAGTCTTATTTAAGAAATTATTTAAATGGGAATTGTAAAAATTAAATTTAAAACTGTTGCACCAAGTATTTTTCTCCCTCCTTGTAAATAATAATTATGTATAGGTACATTTTTATATTAATTTATTATATCATCTACATAAATATTAAAAAAAAGTATTTACCTTAAATGTATATTAATTTATTGTATATAAATACATATACATAATATATATATGAACAAAGAATAGAGGAAAAGAAGACACTATATTGAATCCGGTGTATAAAACTACGAGTTTACTTTTCATATGGTGATGATAATATTTAAAAAAAAACTAAAGGGATGGGTACGTAGATATAACGTGCAAGAATATTATTCTAATAGTTATTTTATAGACGTATTATATTTGTACATATACATATAATATATGTACACATAGACTTATATGTCTGCTCATAAGAAAATAAAAATTGAAATAGTAAACTAATAGTTTTTGTATGCAAGCTCCATGTTGTTCAGTTAATTAAGTTTTTATATATTGAAACGAACGGTATATAAAAGTCCTGAGCTATAGCAGAGGAGAATAGTAAATCTGTGGTATAGCGGCAAAACCATATAATTGGTATAGTATCAAGTAGATGAATCTAATACTTGAAACATAATAGCTTCGACTAAAACAAAGTGAAAATTTTGTGTGTGCCCTGTTTTGAAAATATTTGAAAGACTGTAATTAAAATCGAATTTTTGAAATTTGCGCCAACTTTTTTATTAAACTTCTTCATCTTCTGCAGCTTAGTTTAGAAAATCTGTTATAGAATTATAAAAGCCTGTCTTAACTTTTTATTCTCGAATTACCTAAAATTTCTTGGAAATGTTTGATTCAAGGTCTTAATTTTATTCAACTAATGTTTCGGATTAAATCAAATTTTATTAGATTTTTAGAATTCTATATGAAGAATTCAAATATAGGTACGTGTTTCGATTTTTTGCCACTATGAACTTATGATAATTTGCCTTATTTCCACAGAATTTTTGTTTTCTATACGATGTAGATAAATGCTCTATATTTAGGATACACTATGGCTCCTATACCTATTTTTTTTTTTTTATTTCATTTTGTCCTGAATAAACATCTGTTTATATGATAGTGTTGCGTTAATTTTTTTTTCTATTGTTATTTTTCGTTTCTTTAATATTTATAGAAGTAGAAAAGAAGAAAAAAAGAATATCGGAGAGAGGAAGAGGCGGAAAAAAAGAGCAGTTTTATGACCAGAGAACGTGCTGTTTTTAATTTATATTGTTGTTGTTCTCATTTTGTGTTGCCTTTTTTTTTTCTGTTGGTTCCTTTTGTATTGTGTATCCCAAGTCTCTGTATGGAAGTGAATGTTTTCCGTTCCCTGGTGGTAATATAGTGTAATTAATTTCTATTATTCATTTTATTATTTTCTATTTTTATTATTGATGCTCTTTTTTTTCTCTTTTCACAATATCATGTAAGCGTTAGGTTTCTTTTATGTATTCTCTATTATTTTGTTACATTTTTCCTTGTCCTTTCTCTGTTTTTTTGGTTTTTTTTTTGTTATAATTTCCTTATTGTTTTATTTTTCAATTTTTAATTCCGTTTAACGATATAGAACACATAACAAAAAAAGTGATAAATAAATTCCTTTTTTTTTATTTTTTTTTTCTTTCTTTCTTTCAGATATTACAGTGATCGCGGTACATGTGCTAAATGTTATTTAAGTTGTAATACATGTAGTGGACCACGTCGTGACCAATGTGTTACATGTCCAGAAGGTTGGCAATTAGCTGGCGGTGAATGTCATCCTGAATGTCCTGAAGGTTTTTATAAATCTGAATATGGTTGTCAAAAATGTCATCATTATTGTAAAACATGTTACGGTAAATTAAAAATATAATAACAATTTTATATAATAAAAATTAATTTTTTTTTAAATTATTTAATGTCATATTTGTAAATATTGATTTTGTACAACAATAATATTATATGAGCTTATTTTATTGGTTTAATTCTGTATCCAATTCTCTGTCTGATGTTTGTTGTCAGTGGTCATTGTGGGCATTGACTTTGCTCATATACATATATACTCAGACAGAATGTATAATATTGGTACTGATTATTTTAAGTGTATAAAAATTTATTTGCTTTTAAATAGAATTTTGGATACAAAATGAAAACAAATTTAATTATGCAATTATTGGAAACCATTATGAAGATGGCGAATTATTAGCCTTTTTTAAATAGAAATCGTGAGCCTTTCAGTTTATTATAGGCTGTATTATAGGCTGAACGGATACCGAATAAATAAATTCTTTCAAAAAATATTGTAAGATGCTAGATGACCATATTGCATAAATTTCGGCAGCCTTTTTCTGGATTTAGGCATAAAAGAATCGCATTTTAAAAAGCTTTCTAGGAAAACCTTTTACAGTTCATTAGCAGATTTATATCTGTGTCTCATAAGACTATATTTAAAGATTAGAACTTTTCTAGAATTATTCTAGAAAGATAATATTCCAACGTCAATTCAATTTATTTGCTAATTTGAGAAGACACTGAATTACTGAAAAGGAAAATAAAACACTTTTTTAAAGTTTCACATGGATAATTGTGATAAGCTGCTGAAGTATCAGCCTCTGTTGAACACACTAACAAAGGTTATGTTTTAAGTAGATCAAATATTTTAAGAAGATCTTTTATATCTCTAAAGAAATTTTTGAATAAAACTTAAATAGCTCTTCTATGGTACTTTATTAACGTGCATAATGGAACGAGTTTGTACAATGCAAAACATTTTAAATGGCAGTAGTGTCAAAAATTCAAAAATAATAATAATCAAAAAATTTGAAACATGCAGTTAAAATCAGAGGGAATATTTGGTTCGAGAAGAAGTTCATTTCGTAAAAAGTTCTTGATAGAAATTTTAACTTGTTATAAGCGAACATTAAGGCAAAAATATTATAACTACATTGCGCGCCAATATTTATGTCAAATCCTGTTGTGAGTGCTCGTAAATAGTTTCGTATAGAATAACAAATTTAAAGTGCTTATACATTAAAATATTTTACATTATTTGAAAACTAATTAACTTAATTTATAAAGTTACGTACTTATACATTGTTTTTCATTTTGTTTTTCAATGGTATATAGGAAAAATTATGTCAGTTTGAAAATAAATTAAGACCCCATCATTATATTAGTTAATAAAAAATCTATCTTACATGAATGTACGTAGATGTATAGTAAGAAACTAAAAAACAAATTTGATTCATTTCAATTTAATGAGTTTAGAGTTGTCGTAATTATTTTTTATAAAATTTAAAATATTTTCTATTATCCTTTTATCGGATTTTACTTCAATCTTTTCTAGTTCCGTTTATATCTTTATTTTTTATCGTTTTTTATAGCCTCGACGATGAAAATGTAGAAAAAACAAAATGATATTTTTTAATAATATTGAATGATGGACATTTCATTAGTCTCAATGATAGAGGAAGAGGATGTATCTCATTAAATTTACGTTCATTCATTCTTATTTTGTGTCCATTATCTTAAATTCTGTATTATGCATATATAAATTTTAACTATAATGCTTAGTTGCATTTGTGTATATAATTACAATGTATACAGGGTGATTTTGTAAAAATACAATAAGAATGAAATCATCATTTAAATATTCAAAAATTGGTTAAACTTTTGTAGGTCAAAACTCAATAGTTTCTAAAATACAGGAATTTTATGAATATAAGAAAAAAAAAAGACTTTTTTAGCAATAACCTTGATTTTAAGAAAACCTGAAAATGAAATATATTTGAAAGTGTTGATTAAGAGCTTGGCTTAGCTATATATTTTAATTATTTGTCTTACGTACTATTGGAACTTTGAGAGGTCACTGTCTCTTGATTACGATGGATAAAAGAGTGCATGTTGCATTAGCAGAAATTTTGCGGAGTTGCCAGAATGCTAAATAGACAGGGAACGCGGCACCATGTGCTTTTCCAATGTCTCCATCCGATATTTAAAAAAAAAAATATTTGAGAAATTTTAGTTTAGAAGTTTAGGAGAGTTTAGAAGAATATCCGTGAGATTCATAGACTTTAAAGAGCGTAATATGTTTCAAAAGTTTATACTTTTCAGTGGCATTCATGAGATGAGACTAAATGCAAGAGTAGAACTGTACCACCTATGTCACTAGTAATATATTTTCAGAATTACAATATTTTTGGAATTCAAAAATTTTTTTTAATTTTTTCCTTTTGCCTCAACTTTAGTTTAATCTATGAGACATCTATATTTTATACGACAAAACCCAATTTGCATTACAAAAATTTTACAAATCTTATTAAAAAAAAAAACAATGAAAACTCAGACTTTTGTCATAATTTTCGGTTTAAGTCATAATTTTTATAGTTATTATTTTTTGTTTCTAGTCAATTAAATTAATTTTAGCCTATTTAATTAGGGCTACAATTACTTGTTATTTAAATATCTTACTCTTCTTGGAACTGCGGTTATAACTTAATATACAAGAAATCTGAACAAGCAGAAATTTGCGTGATATTCCCATTAAAAATCTTCTATCTCGGGAACAGCTGAGCGTGCTCTGTTGGCACTTTATACTTCTAGTTGTCTAGGCTTTATTTCCATTTTTCATTATCATAATTATAATATTATTATATTGGAATCGTCATAAGCATCACCCTGTTATACACAAACCACGTTTGTAAAAACAATGATGATGGCAAAATTAAAATAAAAAAAAAAGAGAAAAGCTTTTTTTTTTGTTCGATATTAAACATTGCTTGGTAATTTTATCATTTTATTATAGCACTTCATATGAAATTAAACTCAATTGAACTCAATAAGGATTTCATAGATTTTTTTTTTTCTGTTTTTGTTTTTTACTCAATTTTTTATCACTGTTTTGCATATTTTTTTTGCTCATCCCTGAAATTTTTTTTTTACCACTGTCGTTAGTAATATTCTGAAGCAGCTGTTGGAATTTTGCATTAATGTTTTTATATACCAATCCAATAATATAAAGTTACTAACAAATACTTTCACGTACACATTACACACATAGATACATACATACATACAACAAATATTATTATGAAGAGGAATTTCCACAATAAAAAGATTTGAGTATGAAAAACACACAAAAAAAAAAAACATTTTCAGAATAAAAATTTTATTTTTCTTGGTTTGTAATAAATTTGAAGAGGTCATCAGACTAAAAAAAAAATTTTTTTTTTTTGTTAAAAAAATGTATTAAATTATTTTCGATATAATGTACAAGTACCTATGTACATATCAAAATTTAATAGTTGTACAAGTGTTCTTTTTTCAATTAATCTTACCAATATTGATTTTACCAATACAACAAAAAACAAAAATTGATATTGTCAGTTTGTTGGGGTTTTTGTTACAAAATTTATAATTTTATAAAATAACAAAATTTATACAAAAAAAAAAGTATTAAATGAACATGGAAATTTGTCAGAAATGAAATATATTAAAATATTATTTAAATTTAAAAAATTATTTAATGCATGTATCAGCTTTATTAACCCTTAAGCGCCGCTCAAAAAAAGTCACATATATGGTATCTTAATATGAGTAGAAAACAATCCTTAAGTATAATATTTTAGCATAGAAATAGTATAGAATTTTCATTTCAATTAAGGAAGAGGACGTTTTATTGACAATAAATGAAAATGCACTTCTCTTAAAATTTGAAATGGGTTCGATTTATGCATAAAATAGCTTTAATTTATAAGCTACTTAGGCCCTATAACTATTCTAATGAAAAAAATTCAAAACTTTTGTGGATTGGAAAAGCAATAATAGTCTCAGGATCCAATTAGATCTTTTAGTATGAATTTTAATTAAAAAATTAAGACAGAACAGTTAAAATGGTCTTTTAGTACCAGTTATACCCGCAACTTGTGGAACTGGGTACATTGCAGCAAAGTTTTACCTTCTCATGAGTGTCACCGTTTATCCATTAGGGTAAAATTGTTATTCAACAGTGTACTTAGAAATTGAACTCCCTTTGTTTGTTTTTCATACATTAAGAAAAATTTTTTTGCAAAGCTTTTACACAAACTCACTTTTTTTCAAAACCAATTTGACTAAAAGACTGAATAAGCAAATTTCACTATACAAATCCAAAATAATACAATATAAGGCATTATAGGATAGCAAAAAATTGTCGTTTAAAATTACCTTTATCTCAAACCTCTTAAATTAAAGCTTATGACACCGTTTTTCACATAACATAGTTACCGGAAGTTTTAAAAGATTGGAGAATTTAAAAATTAATAAATGATTTATTTTGTTTGAGCAAAATTTTTTTCCATCTCTCTTCCACTATAAAAAATAATTATTATATTCAAAAATTAGCAAAATTTCTAAATTCTTATGCAGCTATCCTAAAAGTATGCAATAATAATTATGTTATATTATATCTTTACAAATAAACAGGTAATAAATGTAGTCGATTGCTGATTCCGATATTAAATTTAAGGGAAATTTTATGTTCTTAATTTATACATTTCGTGTCTGTGAATTAAGATCATATTTTTTTTAGTTTCCTTTGCTGTAAAAATTACTTGAAGTTAATGAAAATGTATGTAAATATAAATATGATCAATTATACAGGTATAAGATCAACTACTATGTAAGAAGATCCACTGTATAATCGTTCGTCGAAAACGTTGCTCATTAAGCTTAGTGGTGCTGCTCATCCAGCTTTTCGTATAAATGAGAATACAATAATTAGAAGCTTATTAGAACTGTTCAAAAAGTAAAGCATTTCCATTTGTTCAAAAGAAAATGTGCTACACCATGTACCTTTGCCTTGATTCCAATTTATTTT